TTAGGAGGATTACATTTCAGGTTCATTTGAGCAAAATGGTAGATTTATTAAAATATTACTTCCTACAGCTCCTGCCACACTGGGATCACTTCCAAGGCTTTCTGCTGTTTCAGCAATGAATGTTTCAAGCAAGGCTTGATTGGTGTAACAGATGACAACCCCACACTCATCTGTATTGAATTTTACTGAATATGTAAATATACAGTACTTATTATCTGACCAGATATACTTATACAGTATATATTGACCAATATACTTATTACCACAGTATTAGAGAGGGCATGCTCCGGACCCCCTCGGCAAAAGAACTCCAACTAGTGGGGTCCAGAAGGCGGGCCTTCTCTGCTGTAGCCCCCGCCCTTTGGAACATCTTGCCCCCGGAGGTGAAATTGGTCCCCTCACTCCCGGCCTTTCGGAGGGACTTGAAGACCTGGCTCTGCCATCTGGCCTGTGGTGGGGAGGGAGGTAATCAGATGAGGGGTTGGCTAGCCCCCTAGAGGCCTAGTGCGGCTTCCATCAGCCTCTTGGATTTTCTTCTCTTCTTTCCATCTGTGTAGATGTCTTTGTCTTTGTATAATTTTTATCATGTATTTATTGTTTTAACTTGATGTAAACCGCCCAGAGTCCCCCATTGTGGGGAGATGGGTGGGGATAAGTCTATGAATGAATGAATGAATGAATAACCTGACCAGATCCTATCAGTGGTTAGAGTGGTGTAGTGGTTAAGGTGTTGGCCTAAAATCCTGGAGACTGTGAGTTCTAGTCCCACCTTAGGCCATGAAAGGGCCTGGGTGACTTTGGGCCAGTCCCTCTCTCTCAGCCCAACTCACTTCACAGGGTTGTTGTTATTGTTGTGGGGAACATAGGAGAAGGAAGGAGTATTAGGTATGTTCACCGCCCTGAGTTATTTATAAAAAATAATAAAGGCAGGATGATGATGATGATAATGAGGAGGAGGAGGAGGAGGAGGAGGAGGGGAAGGAAGGAAGGAAGGAAGGAAGGAAGGAAGGAAGGAAGGA